GATTCTATATAAATTTCATTATCTGTTATCCTATTCCTGCAAAAACTGTCATTCAGGGATCACAATGAATCTGCAGATCACTTTAGGTAGTACTGACTTCTAATCCATATACAAAGGATGTCTTTCCATTTACTTGTTTAAAAATCTTTTTATTAAGATAAAATTCAAATATGGTACAATCTATCCCAGTGTATAATTGTTTTTAGTGTACAGTTTTGCAACCACCATCACAATCAATATTTCAACATTTTTATCACTACAAAAATAAACCTAGTATCCACTCAGTTCAGTTCAGTCACCCAGTCGTGTCCGACTCTTTGCAACCCCATGAATCACAGCACACCAGGTCTCCCTGTCCATCACCAACTCCTGGAGTTTACTCTAGGATACACTAGCAGTCACTATTTTCTTTACCCACCCCAAAATCCACCCTAAGCAGTCACCAAGTTAATTTCTCTCTGTTTTGGGTTTCAGATGAAGAGAATCATATAATATGTACTACTTTGTGACCAGCTTCTGTTATTCAACATGATGTTTTCATGTAGCATTATCAGTAAATTCACTTTTTTCTATTGCCAAATAATGTTCCATTGTATGGCTATACAATCTTTATTTATCCATTCATCAGACAAAGAATATTTGAGTTCTTTTCACTTTCATAATGCTGGAATGCAGATTTATGTACAAGTTTTTGTGTGGACATATGTTGTCATTTTTCTCATGTATATACCTAGGAGTAGAATTCCTGGGTCATATAATAACTGTTTAACATTTTGAGAACTGCCAAATTGCTTTCCAAAATAGTTGAACCATATTACATTCTAACCAGAATCCTATTAAGACATTTATTTTTAAATGGGTATCCTCCAAACTGAAAAATAATAACTTTTAAAACTGAAAAATAATCAATTATCTTATTTTCAGACACAAAAGTATCTTTAAGTACTCTCTCTCAGTTTGTGTTAATGTTAATCTATAAGACACAATTATATAGTTAATATTTATTTAGGTTTATTTACCTATTTATCACTTGCTTTGCTCTATAATCCTTTCTGTACCTCTGGCATCTGGAATCACTTTTGTTTCAATTTTGGAAATTTCTTTGATGAGGTTCTGCTGTTTGCAATTTCTCTTATATTGCACTCTCTTACTTGAAAGATATTTTTGCAAGACATACAATTATGTGTTGGTAGTTATTTTCCCTTGCTATATTAACATCATCATTCCATGGCCTGTTGCATTCAAATGTTACTGGTGAGAAGTTAGCTGTCAGTTAGCTGTCCAGCCACTCTTCTTTAAAGTAACCACTCTTTCCCTGGCTACTCTACTCTGGTACTTCTCTGCAGTTCAGAAAATGTCCTAGGTATTACCTATTAAAACACTGACTCTGTCCCATTTACTATCTTTCCTTCTGAAACTCTGAATAAATATCTATCTTAGACCATGTTTTTCACTCTATATTCCACTTGCTTTTTACTTTTCTCAAAAATAAAAAGATTTACAATAAAATCCATTAAATGTTAACTTACACAACTAGATTTGAAATATACCAAATAATAGCAACAACTTTCTAGAATACCATTCTATTCCCTCTTTCATACATTTTATCTCTTTGTTGATTTCTGAATACTTTCTTGTAGCCTATCTTCCAGTTCACTGATTCTTTAATTGTATCTAATCTGCTGTTAATCCCTTTAATTAACTGAGTTTTTAATTTCAGTCTTTAACTGCTTTTACTTCCAGAAGTTCTACAAAGGTTATTCTTTAGAATTTCTTCTTCCCTGCAGATATTCTTTAAACATAGTAAGTATAGTTACTCTATACTATGCTTAATAATTCTACTACCTAAATTTTTTCAGGGTATGGGCTTATTGTTTGCTACTTCTGTTCATTCTCACATGTGATACCTTGCTCAGCACAACTAAGGAAATATGCTTTGTAGTCCTCGAGAGAAGCAGATGAGAAAGCAGTTACGTTCCCTTTCACTAGGGTATAGTTTTTCGGGTACCAATTCAACAGGGGAAGGGACTCCTGTTAGAATCCTGACTCTGGCTAGGCCACAGGTTTGTCTTTTACTCTATATTTTGGGTGGCTTTTGCAAAGCTGAACTTCGCAAACTATCCAAACTTCAAAATGCTCTCCCAGGCAAAACTGGTTTTAATCCTCTATTTCTCTATGGTTTTATTCTGATAACTTACCTTTCAGATCTGCAAGGATTTTAAGTTCATATTTTCTCATTTATTAACAGGCCATTTTAACTGTCTTTAGCAATAAGGACATGTCAGAAACAGAAGGCCTATACCTACTCTTTGGTACATGCACTTCAACATAGCTTATGGATTCAGCAAAACTCCCTTCACAAAGTCAGAAATGATCACCAAACAACCCTACCAATTTGGCATTCTTTTCACTCATACCTAAACTCAATCTGTCCAGCTTCCAGCACATCTGATTATTCTCTCCTCATGAAGACAGTATTCAGCTTCCACAACACCAGTTTCCTATACAACTCCTAAATGGTCCTTCCTCAAGATTCAGACCTGGGTCATCTAATTTCTACACTTCCTTTGCCACCAATTTATCTTAAATTACAAATATACACCCTCTGGACTACTTTAATAGACTCCCAACTGAATTTCATCTGCCACTCTTGTCCCCATCTAATCCATAGTAACCAAAATGGTATTTCTAAAATAAAAATTAGATCACATGCTGTCGCCTGTATAAAATTCTTCAAGGTACTCCATTTGAACTTTAGGTAAATTCCAATCTACCTAGGTAAATTCCAAAAGCCCATATGTTACCTTCTATGATCAGATACATGCCTATATATCTATAACTGTTCTCTTGCATAAATACTATAAACACTGTTTCTAGTTCTTCAAATATACCAAATTCTTTCCCATCTCATATCCTTGACACTCGTTATTCCCCTTTCCTAGAATATGGTTTATCTGTTATTTGCATGGTTCATTTTTACTTATATTTTCTATCTCACTGTAACTGTGACTTTCTCACAGGCATTCCCTTATAGCCTAATTCAACAGCACCTTAATTTGTGATCAGGTACTTACTGTGGTTTATTTTAATGTCTACTGTCCCAAGTATATGTAAGAATAGCATGTAGAGATCCTACTGTTATCTTCCCATTTCATGCTCAGTACCTAACATGGTGTCACATACACACAGTAAGAGTAATAAATAATTAAATAATTAATTTCTCTCCCTCTATACAGACCCACAGAAGAAGTACAATTCTAATGAGAAAGTATATGCTGAGCACAGAATTAGAGAAAAGAGGAATAAGTTAAACACTAGGGATTAGGTAAGACATAATTATGAACAAACCCATAATGCTTAAGAACCAAATAGCTAAGACTTTTTTCCCTGGACCAGTATTTTTTGGCTAAGGCAACAGATGAGGTAATTGAATTTAATTATTGCTGTCTACACTTTCAAGCAAACAGTCACGTACCAAGAGCATATGTTTCAAGATGACTTGAAATTTCATTACCTGGACCTCTGAAAATATCTTCTCTTAAAACCAACATTATACACAGAGGTTAGGTTCTTCTGGTGAGTTTATAACATTTAATTTATAATTCATTATCCATTTTAACAAATATGAATTGAGTACTACTTTGTGTCAGGAACTGTAACAACTGTGCTACAAATGGAGATAAGGCTATCCAAAAAACAGGACAAAAATCCCTATCCTCACAGATCTGACATTCACATGATCAAAAGTGTGATACACAGAACAGCAGGGTTAGAGGAATAGGGAATGAAGGTAGGGCAATCTTAACCTATGCTAAGTTTATTTTCTATCTCTTGCTGTTCCCAAAAGGATTAAAGTTAGATGTTACTTACAGAACCTAAGTATCACAAATAATGTAACAATTCTTATACAAGTTAAGATTTCAACCAAGAAACTTTATAAAAACATACTTCCTTTCCCATAGCAGTAGGACTGTAAGAACTGCTCAGGTTCCAAGTTACTGACAAGCTACCATATCCTGAGGCAGGATCTTCAAAAAGGCAGTGGCGAGACAAGAGGATAAAAGCAGTGATGGAAATTCCAGGAAGAAGAACTGAGAAGGAAAGCACACTTCTTGATGATATGAAGCTTCACAGACAGCCATTCCCTTCTGTCCAACCATGAGTTGGCTGGCTTTTCTGTCTAAAACTCTATTTCTAAAATCTCTTTCCTATTTGGCATATTATACAACTTTTCCTCATTATTCTAACCTCAAAACAAATATTTAATTTTGGGGAATTTTCTAATCAATTTAATGGCAGAAAAAGATTCTTTTAAATCCCTATCTATACCACGCAGACAACCAGTAGACTACTCTAGACTCTCAAGATTTATCTTAGTAACTGGGGTATGTACCAAGAGGTTGGGTGAAATGCAAGAAGATGAAAAACTGGAGCAAACTTTCAAACAAAGGGTCCTGCAACAAAGTAATGATCGACAAGGAAAGACAGTCAGTGTAATCTTGTCTACTTGTCAACAAGGAGTTCCACTATCACAGAACATGCACCACAGACTAAGGTGAGGAAGCACACAAAGGGCAACCAAAGTAACTACTTTCTGAAGCCCTGCTCACAAGGCTGGAGTGACTATAGCCACATATGTAAACAGCATATAAACTAAGCCAGTCCATGACTTTAGTTTTTATTTTTTCTAATGAGAAAAGGCCTTCTTATTACTTTCACCTGAAAAAAAGGAAGGATTTTTTTAATCAGGGAGTGCTAATATTTTTTGGCAATGAAAACACTTAATCACTGTCATTTTTTTTGTTTTTCACTGTCATTTTAATAAAATATATTTTTTAGGTTGTAAATATCATGTGTATTTCTAGGAATTTTTCAAATTAAATATAATTTATTTATACTCAAAATTTCATAAAATAAGGTCTCAAGTTTAGGAAAACCTAAGCAGCAACATGCAGTCAAAACAAAGTATCAATAGAAAGATGTTGGCCATAAACAATTACCTTTATGGCTGTGTGTTTGTTTTCATCTTCTTCCATCCACAGATCCTGCTCATAATAATATAAACCATCGTTGATAACTTTAGCAAGTTCAGATGTAATTTTTGCTTGAGACATGTGGCTGCCTGTTCGATCTCCTCCAGGATGTTTTCTCATGTAAGGAGGTGTCTGAATTACAATCAAAATCTTATTTAAATCTTGATCATCAATTTCATAATCTGAATCATTATCAGACCAATCAGTAAATGTGTTTTTTTGACCTTCTATTTGTTCCATCTCTTCATCAAAGAAAAAATCAAGTTCTTCTTGTTCTTGTTCATCTGGAAGATATAGTTGATTTGATGCCTCTTCAGGAAGAGATGGTGGTTCCTAGAGGAAGGAATTGGTATTTTATATAAAAACATTATTATCAGTTTTATAATGAATGTTGTGTAACAATGTTAATGTAAGTAATATCAAGACTGTTCAATAACTGGATTAACAGTCAAATGGGAAAAGAAAATCATGCCAGTATTATTCTGGCCCAATAAATAGTAAGCAATTGCTAAATACTAAGTTCAAGAGTGAAAAAACCCCACAAAACTGAATAAAAGAAAGATTAAATAAAAACTCCTCTAAAATTAGCATGGTCCTTAGCACATTCATTACAGCATACCAACTTATTTTATGGATTAGGGAAGAAAAGGCCTATAAATGTGACATTGTTGGTCCACAATTTCAAAATTAGTCTATTAGTACGAACTAGAACAACCAAAGTTGTCTTGTAGCACAGCATGTGGGATCCTAGTTGCCAGACTAGGGTTCAAACTCAAGCCCCCAGCAGTGAAAGAGCAGAGCCCTAACCACTGGACTTCAGAGGTATTCCCAGAAAAAATAAGGTCTTCGGACTTCCAGATTCAGTCCTCTCTATCCTCAATCCTTTTACCTCAAAATTTCATGTTAAATTCACTAACACTCACCGAATTGTTGAATTTCCACCCTCATGAAAAATGTAAAATAGCTTACTGTTGGGTAACATATATAAAGTCCAAATTTGTAGATTCTAGATCCTCTAAAGTCTAACTTAATATAGATTTTCAAACTCTCAACACAAAGAAATAGATTTTTCAATGTTCTCATCTTCCAATGCCATGCTCTGATCAAGCCTTATCCTTCAGTAAATGCTAATTCACCTATCCCTAGAATAAGGCAATTATTCTCTCCAAAATTCCTATTCATGTGAATCTATATTCATTCATTTGGTCAATAATTATCTGGGTCCTCACTGTGAACTGGGTACTGTTCTAGGTAGGAGATTATAACAATTAATGTAACAACAATTCTGCCCTGATGGAGCTAACATTCTAGTAAACAGAAGTTTTTACTTTTTTTAAAAAAGTAAGCTTTAAAACTCTGTGAATATAACTAAAAACAAAAAGTACATATCCTGTTATTCACATTTTCAAAAACATGAAAAAAGTCTTAGAAAAACATCAAACTGTGAATAATGATAAAGCAAGGAGAGAGTCTTTCGTTATTTGACAACAGTTATATATAAACTTATATTTTATATATAATTTTTTAATAATTTATGAGGAAGAGACCAAAAAAGTAGGGGTTAAAGAGTTTTTTTAATGTGGAGGAAAAAATGTAGATCTTGGAATAAATGAAATATGGTACAAATTTTTGTCAGTGAGTCCAGGGTATGATCCTTCCAAGTTATCCAGGTTCACCATGACAAATACAGAAATTAATCAGGATCTTTAGAAAAAATCTCTTTTTGATATACAATGGAGAAAAGACAATCTCTTTAACAAGTGGTGCTGGGAAAACTGGTCAACCACCTGTAAAAGAATGAAACTACAACACTTTCTAACACCACACACAAAAATAAACTCAAAATGGATTAAAGATCTAAATATAAGACCAGAAACTATAAAACTCCTAGAGGAAAAAATGGGCAGAACACATACAGACATAAATTACAGCAAGATCCTCTATGATGCACCTCCCAGAGTAATATAAATAAAAACAAAAATAAATAAATGGGACCTAATTAAACTTAAAAGCTTTTGCACAACAAAGGAAACTATAAGCAAGGTGAAAAAGAAAGCCTTCAGAATGGGAGAAAATAATAGCAAACAAAACAACTAACAAAGAAAGAATTAATCTCAAAAATATACAAGCAGCTCATGCAGCTCAATACCAGAAAAATATATGACCCAGTCAAAAAGTGGGCCAAAGAACTAAACAGACATTTATCCGAAGAAGACATACAGATGGCTAACACATGAGAAGATGCTCAACATCACTCATTATTTGAGAAATGCAAATCAAAACCACAATGAGGTACCATCTCACGCCAGTCAGAATGGCTGCCATCAAAAAGTCTACCAACAATAAATGCTGGAGAGGGTGTGGAGAAAAGGGAACCCTCTTACACTGTTGGTGGGAATGCAAACTAGTATAGCCACTATGGAGAACAGTGTGGAGATTCCTTAAAAAACTGGAAATAGAACTGCCATACAACCCAGCAATCCCACTGCTGGGCACACACACTGAAAGAGACACGTGTACCCCAATGTTCATTGCAGTGCTGTTTATAACAGCTAGGACATGGAAGGAACCTAGATGTCATTGGCAGACGAATGGAAAAGAAAGTTGTACATACACACAATGGGATATTACTCAGTTATTAAAAAGAACACATTTGAATCAGTTCTAATGAGGTAGATGAAACTGGAGCCTATAATACAGAGTGAAGTAAGTCAGAAAGAAAAACACCAGTATATTAATGCAAGTATATGGAATTTAAAATGATGGTAACGACAACCCTATGTGCAAGACAGCAAAAGAGACATAGATATAAAGATCAGACTTTGGACTCTGTGGGAGAAGCTGAGGGTGGGATGATTTGAGAGAATAGCATTGAAACATGTATACTACCATATGTGAAATAGATCACCAGTCCAAGTTCGATGCATGAAACAGGGCACTCAAAGCCGGTGCACTGGGACGACCCAGAGGGATGGGATGGGGAGGGAGGTTGGAGGGGGGTTTAGGATGGGGGGACACATGTACACCCATGGCTGATTTATGTCAATGTATGGCAAAACCGACCACAATGTTGTAAAGTAATTAGCCTTCAATTAAAATGAGTTAATAAAAAAATCTTATTTTGAGAAGCTGCATTAGGCTTTTAAAATAACCCAAGGAAGAAAACCTTAAGTATGCTAAGTTTAAACACCATTGCTAATTTAAAAGCTATCTTTTCAAGACAGAAAAGACTAACAGACATAAAAAATTTATGGTTACCACAGGGGACAGTGTGGTTTGGGGTAGGATAAATTAGAATTTGGGTATCAACATACACAATCCTGTAGGTGGCACAGTGGTAAAGAATTTGCCTGCCAATTCAGGAGGAACAAGAAATGCAGGTTCAACCCCTGGGTTGGAAAGATCTCCTCCATGGAGTAGGAAATGGGAACCTACTCCATTATTCTTGCCTGTAAAATTCCATGGGACTAAGCAAGCACATGTACACACACGTATAAAATAGATAAACAACAAGGTCCTACTGCATAGCACAGGAAACTATATTCAGTATCTTGTAATAACCTATAGTGGGAAAAAAATCTGAAAATGGATATATATATATATATAAACTGAACCACTCTGCTGCACTCTTGAAGTTAACACAACATTGTAAATTAAATGTATTCCAATTTTTTAAAAAAATGGCAAATAACTAAGTACTAAGTTATCTTGGATCAGGGCTTTAAACTCAGCATTAATGACATGTTGGGTTTGATAATTCTTTAGGATGCGTGGTGGAGGTGTCCTATGCACTATAGGATGTTGAATAGCATCCCTGGCCTTCACTCTCATAAGATGCAGTAGCACTTTCAGATTTAACAACCAAAAACTGTCTCCAGACATTGCAAAACATCTTATGCTGAGGTGAAATATCAATATCCTTTCCATTCCTCCAATGAAGAAACACCCTTAAGTCCTTCATGCTTTCTTTCTTCACGCTTTAATCTTAGGAATAAAGAGCCCTACCATAGTAATCTTTAATATTAATGATAGCCTTCTTCAGTCTTCCTACATTTGGGTCCATTATTTTTTGTGACCTCTTCCTTTTAGAGCTTACTTTGAATATTTGAATTATTTTACTGGTACTATTACCAAGTTTATTTTCAGTAAGCTTTTTTACTTTGAGTTAATTGTACATTCACACATAGTTACAAGAAATAGAAATCTTGAGGACTTCCCTGGTAGTCCAGCACTTCCAATGCATGGGTTGTGGGTTTGATCCATGGTCGAGGAACTAAGATTCCACATGCCACACAGTGCAGCCAAAAAGAAAACAGAAATCTCGTGCACTTTTAACCCACTTTCTCCCAAAGTTAACATACTGTAAAACTATAGCAGACTACCACAAGAGAAACATTGATGTTACCTATCAACCTTACTAGGATTTCCATTTTACTCGTACTCATTTGTGTTTGTAGCTTATATCAGAGCCATTTTTTATCACATTTCAAGTTCACAAATCCAACCATCAGCCAACAATACAGCAGTTCTATTGTAAGAAACTCTTGTATTGTTCCCTAACTATCATCATCTCACTTCCTTGTGTGCCTCCAAGAAATTTATTCTTCTCCTTTCTTACTGTAAAATCACCAAAACATAAACAAACCAGACATGTATTCTTTACAAATAATTATATGTAAAATAATTCTACAATTAAGAAGGTTACATATAATGTGGCAAAGTTATAAATTTAAAATTTAGAAAAATTTTGTCATCTTTAAAAAAACTGAAATGTATTCAAACAAATTTCAAGTAAAAAGATTAAAGCAGAATATTTCAAAATCATACTCAGAAATAAGATAATTTTTTAAAATTGATACAATATAATTATTTTCAACTACCTAGTAAACTGTAAGTTTTTACTGAAGGGCAATGGTTCCAAATTTTACCACTGTTTTAAACTTTACCAAATTTTATATATGTACCTCAAAAACAGTGGCCTTACAAGCCACTCAGGATATAGAATACAAACTTCACTTGGGTCATAACAACTTACCTTCAGTTTCACTGGGGATGGATAATGTCTCTTTATTACTTCTATCCAAGGTTCTGAATCCAAGTTGGGCAAACTGGTAGATAAACCTCTAGACATTCCTTGAAGATTACTTGTTTCTGCGTTTTTCTTTGGGATCACTGGACTTCCAATTCTTGGAGAATTTGGGGCAGACTCTAAAATTTTAAGTTAGTTCTATAGTTAAAATAATGGTTTACTTACTCATAAAACACATTTTTTCTTTACTTGGGCTTGGTATTTATTTCTTCACAAAAACATGATAAATCAATCTCAATTATAACCTTTCAATGATGTTCAAAACCAAAGGGCTCTGTAAGATGTAGAATAAAGCCAATGAATAACAGCAGCAATGTTAAAAACCCCTACAGAGACACATTCATTCAAACCTGTCAAGAACATCAATGCCACTCATTTACTAATTATGACAACACATTTATTTCAGCCAATTCTCTGTGAAATCTTAGGTTCATTAACTGCAATGAAGTTAAAGAATCTCAAAAAATGTTACTAAGCAAATGACATTGGTTCTACTAGGATCTATACTAAGGCAGCCAATACTTTTCTCCTTTTCCTAATAAGGTTTACTTAAATGCAATAAACTGAATACTGTAAGAAGCATGTGTCACATCATTAAAGTGTACTGCACTGGAAATAATATTTAGTTAGAACATTTTACAACTCTGCTGGAATTTAAAATGCCTCTCTCCACAATTTTAATGAAAGAATTATATACTTTATAAAATACAAATCATAATTTCCTTTATAAAAAATTGTTTTTCAAAAGTGAAATATGAAGTTATAATGCCTTATGCACTTGCTTTGGAAAAAACATGTTTCAGTAAACCCACTCCAGTACTCTTGCCGGGAAAACCCCATGAACGGAGGAGCCTGGTAGGCTATATATAGTCCTTGGGGTCGCAGAGAGTTGGACACGACTGAGCGACTTAAATTATTTTTCTTCTAAGCATTATTTACTACTCAAAGCCAACTCCTTGAAAATATCGCAAAGCAGAATATTACATAGAAAAAGTTGAAATAAATGAATACCAACAATCCTTTTAATTTACTAAATGAAAACGAAAGGGCACATGCCAGGAGTTTGAGAAGAGTATTTCAAAATTTTACATTCATCTACTACATACGGCAATTAGATGGATTTATTATCGTTTCCATGGACACAGTTAGATCCAAGATTCAACCACCAAATTACTATATTGCTTTAAAAAAAAGCATATTATTTCATAACAAAAAAGGTTCTAAAACTTCACTGTTCAATACAATAGCCACTAGTCATATGGATGTACGGAGCACTTGGAATGTGGCTACTCCTGAAATGTGCTCAGGATATAACTATAAAATATGCAGCAGATTTCAAAGACTTGGCACAAAAATAACACTGGTCCATAATTTTTAATGTTCTAACATTTGGATATATTAAAATTAATTTCATGTTTTACAGCTTTTAATGCTATTAGAATTATTAGGATTACATGTGTGGCAAACTAAGTATTTCTATTGGACACTGCTGCTCTACAACTTAATGGTACAAATTAATTGATCCAAAAAATTAGTATGAGTAAAAAGATTTGGATTGTTAGTATTAACATTAAAAGTTGTACAAAATGGGAAAAACATTAACTTCAGAGAATTCTATTACTAGTGCCATGATGAATTGTTTCTATTCATGCAGTGAATTAAGTTTTCAAAGTAGATTAAGAACCAGCACTCTAGTAACTGGGAGAATTAACTAAATTAGTATGCACAGTTTATGTATATATTAGAACAGTATCTGGCACAAGGCAGAGAAATCAGTATCTACTATTTTTAACACAGAAATTGAAGAAAACCTGTAAAAACCTACTTTTTTTATTTAATCATCTCTAAATGCTCTTTAAGCTTGAGTAATGTTTTTGCTATGAAGTTATATGTTTCACAATATTCACAACACATGTGCTTATAAGTTAAATGACATTAAAATATCAAAGTATTTGGTTAAGAAAACTTAGAAAGTCTTTCATAGTTTCTAAAGGGTGTTCACTACATAAGCTAAACACACATTCTGTATGATTTTCTACATCTTTTACAAAAAAGACTTCAAACTATGTGTGTGCAAATTTTAATAATAATGTGTGTGTGCTAAGTCACTTCAGTTGTGTCTGACTCTGTGTGACCCTATGGACTGTAGCCTACCAGACTCCTCTGTCCATGGGATTCTCCAGGCAAAAATAATGGAGTGGACTGCCACGCCCTTACTTGGGAAGCCCATTTAATAGTAATAGTAAAACCCTAATCTTCCAAGATCAAATGAGTTTGAGTATGACTTGGATTATTTGACTTTAAACTTGTTTATAGGAACTCATTGGCTGTGCAGACTCTGCACTCTCATTCAGATTCAATTCCTGGTTGGGGAACTAAGATCTCAACAAGCCAAGGAATGTGGCCCCCAAAAAATTAATACCACTTATTCATGGACAAAAATTAGACACATAGTTTGAGACACTTAATAGGTTCTAATTTGTGAGAACCTAGAAAGATTTTGTTCCTAATTGAAAATTGACAACATGACTTTTCAGAGATAAATTACCATATATATTTAATGATATCTATTTCATGACATCTTTATCCACCTTGAATCATAGCTTTGGGTAACTATACAGATTGACTTGATTCAGACAATATGTACATGCATGTAAATGAGTATATATTTAAAGAAACACAAAAATGTACAAACATTGATTTTATTCTTGTAATTTTATTAATAATGCATAAATGATTAACGGACAGGCATCACCAACTTCACTATCTTACCTATCCTGTTTCTATTTTACAACTGACCTAATGCCTGTTCATAAGGTTAAATATATAATCTTGGACCCCAAGTTTATACAATAAATTAATCTAACTTATACAATCAGACATCATATGTTTTTTAAAAAACCTAAAAAAAAGTCACTTGATGTTCTCAAACTTTTAAAACACCTGCCCAAATTGCTTTCTAGGCAGAGAGGCACAGAGGGCTAACAATCAAAGAAATGCTCAATAAAAATATCTGTGAGACTGTCCATCAGTGCTTTATTGATGGCAGGTTTCTACAATGGTATATCAAAAATAGATTTTAAAGAGTAAAAAAAAAAAATTCACTTGTTCATTTCTTAAGGTTTCTTATCCTTAATAGTCCACATTAATAAATCTCATAGTTCATGTGAAATATTATGACAATAGGAGAGTTATACAATGTACACTATACTGAAAACAGCAAAGGATCTAACAAACCAGGAAATTCCACTCAAGCCTATTTCTGCTTTATTGATCTGGACACAAGTACAGAAGTCTGGAAGGAAAAGACAGAATCTTGCAATATTTCCAGAATGATAATTAACTTTCCCACCGTGAATAAAAGTTGCACATGCAGCCCAGGCTAATTACAAACAAATGGGCAGCTCCTATAAAAACAACAGCAGTTCTTGGGTCTGTCTTTCATCATCATCACAAAGGTGTTTATCTCCATTGTAGTGTTGGCCCAACCTCCTCCACAAGGAGTGGAAGTAGACAGTCTTGCAGAGAAGTCTGGTCGCTTTCACTTCTGCAGCACGATTTGTTCCAACATTTATAATGATATTTCAGTAAGTCACCTATTCCTCTGCATATTCCGATGAAATGACATCCAAGAGCATCAGTAGATCATCACCCTGACTGAAAAAAGTTTAAGCACACATATTTTTTTTCCCAAGAGGGAATGTCTTAAAAATGATCCAGGAAAAAATTCTTAACTTTAAAGCAATTTTGGGAAATTCTAAACACCACCAGCTGTTTAACATATAATAACTTCATAAGAGATCCCCAATTTTGCTTTAGAATATAGGTCATCTTATGATTTCAGGACAAAGTTGAAGCACATTGGAAAAAAATTAAAGGAAGGCTATCCCCACTCTTGAGTGTAAGACTTTCAGACTATTCCAGTCTTACAAGGGGAAAACAGGCAGAATACATCTATAATCATTTAGTAAAATTAAGATAGGTAAAAAAACTCCAAACATGACAAAGTATACAAATAAGAATAAATAGAACAGAGCGCTTCCCATAATTCCTAAATCCCTATTTAACTTATAGCTTTCTGTGGGAGACATTATGAATAAAATATAAAGCATCAAAACATTAAATTATCTTTAATTTTCTACTGAGTCTAAATAAACTTTTACAAAGATAGGTAAATTGGAGTAAATACCCCACTGTTAATGTTGCTTGCTCTAGAAGAAAAGCTGTTACCTGTATGTGAACCAAAGGCTTGCCCTGGTACGAACTCTGGGCAATCAATCAGTCGAGAGAAGTCTGTTTGTGGCACACTCCGTGGAGGAGGGCCCGGAATCGGCCATTTTTCTGGTTCTACCTTTTTTCTCATTTTCTCATCCACGATTTCCACTTCTGTGCTATCTTTCAGTGCCTATAAATAGGTATTTTTAATTATTAAAAAACTTTCATTCAAAAAATTTAATTGTACACCCTGTATTTCTAATGGTCTGAAATCAGCATATAGTATCATGTTTTTAAAAATATCCATGAACAACAACAAAAAAAAATCCATGAACAGAACAAATGTTAAAATCATTTGTCCCTGCAAAGTATGAAATATCCTGATTTAGCATGTAGCAGATTATTCTTATTGTGAAAATTTTTCAATTAAGGAGTATTTTCAACTAAGTTCAACTATAATTTTTATTGTCAATTTTTCCCTTTCCTATTAATATTTTCTTTTATTTTCCTTAATATAATATCACCAAGTAAAATTTAGGCAATTTATCTGATTACTGTAATATATCCCACCATTACTGAATAATAAACACACACATGAAGAGATTCCTCATAACACCTTGTAAATTTAAGGTGGGATTCATAGATAAGAAATTGAGGCTCAAAGAAATAAAGTAGGGTAACTTCATAAAGGTCATAGACTTAGTATGAGGTAATACCAGGTCAAACTATTATCTGTCCCCCATGACACCTCTTAGCCCCTAGGATACGCTGGCTCTCAAAAATAAACTTCAAAATAAACAAACATGGTATAATTTAAGGGCAAAATAAAACGAGAACAAAATTTCTTCCAAATAAAAATTAGAGTCGAGAAAGCGGGGCGTTCGGCTTGTGAGCGGGAACTTCTCGGTCACGCAGAGAGAAAGAATGATTTAAAAATGGGTGATGTTGAGAAGGGCAAGAAGATTTTTGTTCAGAAGTGTGCCCAGTGCCATACTGTGGAAAAGGGAGGCAAGCACAAGACTGGGCCAAACCTCCATGGTCTGTTTGGCCGAAAGACGGGTCAGGCTGCTGGATTCTCTTACACAGATGCCAACAAGAACAAAGGTATCACCTGGGGAGAGGAGACGCTGATGGAGTACTTGGAGAATCCCAAGAAGTACATCCCTGGAACAAAGATGATCTTTGCTGGCATTAAGAAGAAGGGAGAGAGGGAGGACTTGATAGCTTATCTCAAAAAAGCTACCAATGAGTAATAGTTGGCCACTGCCTTATTTATTATGAAACAGAAGTGTCTCATGACTTTTTATGTGTACCATATTTAAATTGATCTCATACACTAGAATTCAGATCATGAATGGCTGATGGAATAATTCTGTTGGACAGTCCTGATTTAAATAAGATTGGTTTGTGGCTAAACGAATATGGTCAGCTTTTTTAATTTTGATAGTAATTCCGGTTCAACAAGTACTATCACTTTTCCCATTCTAAAGAGATGATTGAACTTGAATAAGGAATATTAAACTTTTTAGGGAGATGGTGCATTCCTTCTCAAACCCTATAAGAGATTGGTTTTATATTTAGATTTCTATAACTGGTTATATTAATATATTTAAATACTGAAAAAGGTCCCTTCACTGTCTCATAGAACAGAGGAGGATTCACATGTGTTTGAAGTTGTGTTCATTAGCCTGTTAAGGCAAGGATTGAAAATACACTGACAAATTCCACTTTATCTTTTTGGTTTTATAAACTATGCCAATTTAATTAAAATTCTCTATCTAAAATTTAGCCTTTTACTTAATGAAAGGCATTTTAGTGTGGTTTATGTATAGCATCAAATAAAGAGTATTTAGCACCTCACATTTTGTAGATGATCTTTAAGATCAGATGCTTTTAAAATTCACTGTGACAAGATATGTTAACGAACTTTGCTTGTTAATTCTTCACAAAGTCAGACTAAGTTATAATTCAGGGTTGTCTTTTAAACAGGAATTCAGAAACACAACTGTAGAACTACTTGTATATGGTGTTTGGTAATCGTGCTTTTGCCAACTCATTAGAAGGATTAGAGGGGCTGTATCATTAGCTCAGATTTGTAAACTGTCTGATCATAAGGCTTAAGAATTAAAAAATGAAGTCACAGATAAAAAAAAAAAAAATTAGAGTCTTACTGATTTGAATCTTAACTGAAATTCAAGGGTACTCACCTTCAGAGACAAGGAAAAAAGATAAGTATAAAAACTCAATATCAAAGTGTTAACATAAAGATTTAAAACTCACTGTATTCTAGTTGGAGAACACATAATATTTGTTACTTTAATATTTTACATTTGTACACATTAATATTAGCATCATGCTTACTTCTCAAGTTATATTTTCTGTAATGGGACATTAATAAAGTATTAAAATTATTTAAAAACAAACTCTTGATGGGAATCAGGATAATCATTGAAAGAGAAGAGAGTATGAAATATGGAATGAAGGAAATAAAGAAGAATCTTTTTTTTATTATTTCTTTTTTCTTACTCATCCTTGCATTTTCTTATTACTATTAATTTTTGGCTGTACCAGGTGACTTGCAGGATGTGAGATCTTAGTTCCTGACCAGGGATTGAACTCAAGCCCCTTGCATTAGGAGCAAAGAATCTTAACTGGACTGCCAGGGAAGTCCCAATAAGGGTTTTGAATTAGTGATACATGCATGGGTTTTTTATTTTTTGTTTGCTTGTTTTTTAAAATATATTTTCCTAGTTTTGTTCACTGAACCATCTGGAGGCAATGACACCCTAGTAGCAAAGCAGTGGACCCAGCATCCAGATCTTGCAACAACATGGATGAATTTTAAAAACTATAAATGAAAAAAAATAAAAACTATAAATGATGGAGAAGGAAATGACAACCTATTCCAGTACTCTTACCTGGGAAATCCCATGGACAGAGAAGCCTGGTCAGGCTACAGTCCATGGGGTCACATAAAGAATTGCATATGACTTAGCAATTAAACAACTTTACCCCAGATCCTGTTGATGCCTGAGGTTTTCAGTTCAGTCACTCAGTCATGTCCGACTCTGAGACCTCATGGACTGCAGCACACCAGGTTTCCCTGTCCATCACCAGCTCCCGGAGCCTACTCAAACTCATGTCCATGAGTCAGTGATGCCATCCAACCAACTCATCCTGTTGTCCCCTTCTCCTCCCGCCTTCAATCTTTCCCAGCATCAGGGTCTTTTCCAATGAGTCAGTTCTTTGCATCAGGTGGCCAAAGTATTGAAGTTTCAGCTTTGGCATCAGTCCTTCCAATGATTATTAAGGACTGATTTCCTTTAGGATGGACTGGTTGGATCTCCTTGTAGTCCAAGGGACTCTCAAGAGTTTTCTCCAACACCACAGTTCAAAATTATCAATTCTTCAGCTTTCTTTATAGTCCAACTCTCACATCCATACATGACTGCTGGAAAAACCATAGCTTTGACTAGACAGACCTTTGTTGGCAAAGCAATATCTCTGCTTTTTAAGATGCTGTCTAGGTTTGTCATAACTTTTCTTCCAAGGACCAAGCGTCTTTTAATTTCATGGCTACAGTCACCATCTGCAGTGATTTTGGAGCCCCCCAAAATAGTCTGTCACTGTTTCCAATGTTTCCCCATCTATTTGCCATGAAGAGATGGGACCAGATGCCATGATCTTAGTTCTGAGGTCTGGTGCTGCATTTTTCCATCCACCAGAGGGCAGTGTTCTACTCTGCCTGATATTCAGCCTCCCCTTTGAGGTGTTCCCTTTCAAATCCTAGTATTTCACCTCCTGAAGTGATCCCCAGTGTCTCAAAGTTTGATTTGACTTTTAGAAATACATCTTATGTTGGAACCTCACAGAGATATACATCCAAATGCAACTCTGTATGTACATATATAACAAAAGCTTCATAAAATATCCCTTGTCTTCACAGAGAACAGACTTGTGGTTGCCAATGGGGACAGGGTTGGAGGAGTGATGAAGTAGGAGTTTGGGATCAGCAGATACAAACTATTATATAGAGATGTACAGATAAACAATAAGGTCCTATCATATAACACGAGGAACTATGCTCAATATCCTGTCATAAACCATAATGGAAAAGAACATGAAAAAGATATATATATAGGTATAGCTGAATCACTGCTGTACAGCAGAAATACACTGTAATCAACTATACTTGAACAAAATTAAATTAAAAAAACACTACAAATGAAAGAGCGAGGAGACAGAAAAATTTCATCTATACAAACATAAATAACAGACAAACCTATGGTAACAGAAATCACAAAGTGGTTTGATTAGGCAGGGCAAAGGACAAGAGGATGGGGAACTGACTGGAAAAGGCCACTGTGGAGGTTTTTAGAATAATGAACTATTGATATATGTTGTTTGGGGCAGGCTTATTCAATTTTCAAAAATCAAACTGAACACCTAAGATCCCTGGCAGTTTACAGCACGTTACTTATTATACCTGAACTTAAAAAAGAAAAACAACTCCTTAACACTTCCCTATGGGTTTAGTTTTTCAAAATACTTTGGAAAAAAGACTACCAATGGTGTTCACTGGGATGTGAAGACAAACACTCTGAATGACAATAGTTTCAATTGGCTCAATACTTTGGCCTCCTGCTTTGCAGGCAGATTCTTTATCAGCTAAGCCACAAGGGAAGCCCAAGAATACTGGAGTGGGTAGCCTATCCCTTCTCCAGCAGATCTTCCTAACCCAGGAATCGAACCAGGGTCTCCTGCATTGCAGGCAGATTCTTTACCAACTGAGCTATCAGGGAAGTCAATCTTCCTTAAACGTAATACTTAACATGAGTACATGCATAGGGGAAAAGAAATCATCCTTAATCTTATAATTTCTTATATACAATATTTAAGCTATGTCACAATTTAAAGAAAAAATTTCAAGAAAAAATTAAAAGTTCTTTATATGGAATGATAATCCAATATATGCTGTTTTTATTAAAGGAACAAAACAGTATTATGTAGTAAAACATGCACAATCTCAGGAAAAATACATAAAAAGGAGTAACACTACTTGCCACACCATGGAAGGTTTAACTAGTTCACTGTTGGTGAACGATGAGAAGGAAATTTTTCACTATATACCCCTTGAATCTTGAATCACAGGGGATTCTCCACTGGGGAAAAAAAAAGTCAAGAAAATAA